TAAATTTAGCTGCAGTGGCTTTTCCATTTTAATATAAATTAACTGCAGGAAGGCTTGTATTTTAATATAATTAGCTACAAAAGTTTTATAAAAGAGAATTTAATATATTAATATTTTGCGCTTTTATAATAAAAAATAAGTTTTGTTCTCAAAAAAACGCGTCTACTTTTATTTTAAAAAATGAGTCGTCAAACCTACTTTATTGACCCTAAATTTAATAAAAAATCAATTTACAATTCGCCAGATAATAAGTATCAGGAATTCACTAATGCTTAGTTATATAGTACTATGGTAAAAACGGGAATAGTACTCCAAATCGTGCTATTATTTGTCATGAAGCAGTAACAGAATAGAAAAGCATTAAAAGTAAAAGTGCTACAGAAATTGATAATATAATTAAAGAATACATCACTACTCCAATTCACTCATATAACATATTAACAATAAGAGCAAATCGTCCTAAACCTATACTAACAGTTTCCACCCTTCCTATTATTAGTCCAGTTGAACTTATACTAGAAATTTCTAAGAATGTAATAGCTCAAAGGAAGATAGCGGAAGAGATTAAAATAACTAAAAAAAAACTTGCTGAATTAAAACAAATTTACAACATCACAACTGACACTCAGATTCAGCATGATATATATATAAAAATAGAAAAAGCCAAATATGAAATTAGTTCTAATAAGGACAAAATTAATAAACTAAAAAGAAATGCGAAATATGCTCAAAATTGTAGAGCAAAAAATTTAAAATACTTACTGAGAATCAAGAGGTAGTTTAGTACGATAAGTCTGGTCGTCCACCATTACTTTTCAAACATCCAGATCTACACAATCAAATCCATGACTCAGTTGAGTTTGGATTAGCTGATTCAAAAAGGTGAAAAGGTGAAAAGAGGTGGTTAAGGTGCGCATCGTTGAAAATTTGCGTAAAAATTTAAGGAGAAATATAATATTTATATGGCATGAACAACATTAAAGAATTATCTCTTACCTCACTAATCCAATTTGATTGCTACTAAGGCTTATCATCATCTGGTATAAGTTGCTGTATCTGGAGTTTCACGTACAGATACTCGAGAGCATTCTAATGGGCATTATTGTCTTGCATCTGTCAAATATGCAAGACAATTTACTTCTATGTTTGCTGATATGTCCGTTATTGTTTCTCAAGATGACAAAGTAAAAGTGAGTCTTGGAGTACTTGCAGTAGGTTGAACATTTCAAACCTTACAGTCAATTAATGAACCTGTATCTGTAACTGATCACGATTTTTTTATTGGGTGTAAGCAGAAACTAATTTCTTTAGTATATCTAATTATTAAACCAAATGAATTAAAAGATGAACTTTGAATAGAACAACTCGCAATTTTTACACATTCCCAATGGCCTATTGGTACATTCTCGCTAACACATATGCAGGATCTAGAAAGTCTTACCTTAAATTCCCAATATGATAATGTATTGAAGACCAATGAACAAATTCGACTTATTTGGATATTATTAGTAGATGGAGGATCGAACGAAAATCTCAGACATTTGAAAACATAATGGTATACTGTCAACTTTTTAAAAATTTTGACTTGGATTACCTGAGTATACAAACATGCACCAGGACAATCTAAATACAACCCTGTCAAAAGAGGCATGACAATACTATCCAGCAAACTTGCTAGTATCACATTACCAATTGACCACTTTGACAAACATTTGAATTCGCAAGGAAATGTCACAAATCCTGAGCTGGTTACTCAAAATTTTCGATATGCTAGAGAGACTCTTTGCAATATTTGGAGTCACGATTCAATTTTTGGAAAACACGTTGATGCTTGATATATTGACACATTTACAAATCCATTTGAAAATTTAGAATTTAAGAATACAGAAAAAGAAAGGCCGAAGAATTAAAAAGACAAGAAAAATAAAACCAAAAAAATGCAAAAAAGAAGAATGAAGCGCTTACTTTTCCCGAATGCTTTATTTTATGGTCTTAGATTGAAAAATACTGCAATTTATGCACATATTCCATTGATATCAGAAAATGTAAAGATACAAGTTATTATGAACTACCAAGAGCTAAAGAAGCAATGGAATTTCTTGAAAGTTACAATGGTTTCTTACCACCTATTACAAAAGCTAATGATGGACACTTTACGAATCCTATTCATTTACTCCAATATTATGATTGTCTAAAAAATCCTAGGCTACAATGCTTACTGTCTGTTTCTTGAAAAAAATATATACTTCTGTCTTTGTTGTTCTACATGTCAGAAGTACTTTCCTACCCTTACTTTCCTAAAGAACCATAAGAAAATAGCACACCCTGCAACTTGAGAATGATCTAAAAACCAATCTAAGAACCAGAATGAGCCGCTTGATGATTTTTCTCTTCTACTTTCACAACGATCAAATATCGTTTCATTTGAATTAAGGGAATATGTATCGGATGGAGAGTAAGTACATGTTGAATTGCAGTATTAATAAATATTTTTTGCTTATCACCGTAAGCAAAATGATCACGTGATATATATATCTAAGTATAATGTAAGACATCTCTTAGAAGCTCCTGCTATTCCCACCCCTAAAAATATTATGTAATATATGTCAGCGCCCTTATATCACTCAAATTTATTATTTTATTAAATCATTCTAGAAATGAAAGATGATGAATACTCAGTGATAGCAATGAAGTAAAAAAAGCAAGGTAAGCCATACACTTATTTTATTAAATAATTTGACACTAAAATTTTTAGGTATAGGAAAGTTGAAGAATCTCTAGCTAAGCGAATGTCAGAATATACACTAGGCAAAAGATGCATTAATCAGTATTACAATAATGATTAACTTTACAATCAGCGTTCTCATGAAAAAATATACTAGATTATATGTAATAAATTCAAGATACTTAGTATGTATATAGTATAAATGCTAACTAACTTTATTTATACTGTATTAATAAAATAAAATGACCTTAGAAGTTAATTTTATTTTACTTGTATATATTTTTACATATCTTTTCAGTATGATCACTATTAATCCTAATCACGTGCAATACTCGTGATGATGATTGGCTAAAATTTATAATCATGTGATATCATAATCTCACTGAGGAAGTCCGGTTTTATATTAACCTATAATTACGTTATATATGTAAATCCCTTATTTTAATTAAATAATTTATTCATTTTTATTATTTTATTCATTTATATTATTTTATATATTTTATCTATTTTCTTTATTTATTTATTTTATCATTATACATATATATTTTTATATAAATAAGAATAGTTCATTAATATAAAAGAGCAGTCTTGTCTTAAAATAATTCTTTTGATAAATAAATTGTTTAGTACAGATATGCTGACAGAGACAGTATTAGTCTTTTATTTGTTAAATATCCTATTTATCTTAATTATTATTATTTTTTTTATCTTGTATCTTTATTTTTACTCTTCTATATGAAGAAAACCTTCTACTAAATCTTGATATTTCAGTAATTTATTCACAATCTAAAAGAACTGATGTAACACTTAGTATCTTTTGCTAGAAATATTTAAACTCCTACATGATTAATTTTAATCTATTAATACAAAGACAATAATTTCACAGTCAATTGCATACTTTAAGGCTAATTAATTTCATACAATATACTTTTGATTCTTCTTATCTTATTTGCTACTCTGAATATTCTGTTGCAAGTATTTCTTAATTTATTAACTTTTGGTATTTGTTCTCTACTGAATTCCCTATATCGACCTTTACTTCAAATGCTAAAAAGCAGTTAGAACAGTTAATAAATAACATGCAAACTGACTCTATTTTAAAACAAATTAAAATCTTAATTCTTAGCATTAGATATACACAAAATCCAAGTTCTCATATTAATATTTAATAGAATATATACAATGTATTAATCTTAACCAATGGTTTTAGCATGACTCTTTTAAAGTATTATATCAAATAAGTGAAATAGTTCAATCTATAAATACTCAAACAACCACTTCTTTATCTATATACCATCTATTTCAATTCGTTCTAATACACTTGATTTACTAAACAGAGAAGATTTTAACTATGACTTATTATTTCAAGTTCAAGTAAATATGGCTAATCAACAGGATATTCTAAATCTTACTAATGCTATTTAAAAATTGACTAGATCATTCGCTTTATAAGAATAACTAACAGCAAACAATAGAGTTTTTTAACTAATTAATAACTTACAAGATAATGCCAATGTAATAAATAGTAATCCTTAATAAAGAGAGACACGTGTTGTTGATTTGTCTTACTTTTATAAAGGCAACTAAGATCTTATCAGATGGCTTGAGAAGTTTATATGTGCCTGCAATGCAAATAATATTATGATAATAAAAAAATTGAAGTTGTTCTAACCTACTTAAAAAACTTAGCATTCACTTGGCGAACTGCCAACCAAACTTTGAAAAATGAAAATAACAACTGTATTATTACATAGATAGAAAATAATAATAATACTAACTTTATTCAAAACTTTTTGCCACTTTCAAGTTTCAAACGCTAATAGAAATCTGAACAACTGAATTGAAAAAGCATTAATAGCAATCTGGTAAATCTGTAGACAATTATGCTTGCACTTTATTAAAATTATATCAAAAGGTAGAAATACAAACTTTTCAATACTCTGATGCAATGAAAGCTAGATGACTTATCAGCAGATTAGTATCTGAATTACATTTGTTGATAAAACCTTTCAATGATTAAACTTAGAATAATGCACTTAATCGAGCTAAACAATATGAATTTATATATAAGAATACCAGCGCAGTAGAGGTATACATGAACAAATATATTAAATTATCAGAAAAGATAAATTAACTTAATACTTTGAATGCTGCTATTGCCAATTTGTTTTAGCAAATACAATAAATAAATGTAAGAAGAAGAAAATTTAATTCAGGTTATCATCAAAATAATTATCAATAATAAAACAATTAGCAAAATAATAATTAGCAGAATTGACCTTTACAAAATAATCAAATAGGACTCATTGGATACTTTGATTGTAAACAGCTTGATAAAACTGGCAGAAACTGACAGACCTGTCAAATATAACATATATACCAAATATGTCATATCTGTCAAATAGAACATATATATCATTTATTATATTTTTATTATATTTAATATTATTATTATTTCTTTCATATTTAACATAATTAGCATATCAATAGTATCATTGATATCATAAATTTTCTTTAATTATAATTTTCTTATATAAAAGACATGAAAATGCCTTGAAAAAAGAATAGATTCCAATATTGTATTCAATATACATTTAATAACAATAATAAACAACATTAATATTTTGTAAATATAAAACTTATAATTTTATTCTTGTTAACTAAATAAACTTTTTTAAACAGCATGTCAAGTTGATTGGATTTAAGTCATAGTTATTGTCTCCTTGACTTCAAATTATAGTTAACTTATTTGAAGAAAGAGTAACATTAACAAGTAGTAATTCCTACCAGAATACTATTAATTTTATATATAACAGATCGCTAATAGATTTAGCAAGATATATAAAAATTTGAGTTAAAGAGAAATTGAGAAATAGAGATAATTTTATATATAACGAACCGCTGAAGATATAGCGAGGTGTATGAATTTTGAAGCAATTGAAAGAAATACAATAAAACATATTGTTAGACATTATTCAAATTTCCCTATCCCTTCTATTTGATAGACTTACAACTGGATTCCAAAATTTTTGAAATTGGTTTCATTACAAATATTGAGCTGAAACTTATACAGTAAGATCAGTTGTTGCTTTTAATCTATTTGAGCAATTAAATAATACTCTAATATCAGAATATCGTAATAGCCAATTGACAAAGATAATTTACTAATTACTCTTTAGTCTTTGATATAAGACTATACTTTCTCATCAGATGTAATATATTCGTATGTCTAAGGTGTATCTTTTAAAACAAATTATTTCTAACAGCCTGTTGATCAATTTATTTTACTAAAAGTATACATAGAAATCCTTAATTAGAATTTAATATAGATTCAGAAAGACTGACAATTACTTTGACAATTAATTGCCTCTTTAATACCTTTCGCAACTAGTTTATCAACAATCTCAATTACTACTCCACTACCAGAAGCAATAATGGCAATTATAGATGAACAAATAAGACAAGCTTTCGAAGGAATCTTTAGAGTAGATGAAGGGTAATTAAATATATTAGGATAAACAGAATAGACTACGGCAAAGGTTGATTATTTTTATAATACTGAAATAAAAGATCCTGTGAAATGACTTGCTACCTTTGAAAAAGCAGCTACTATCAATCGATGGATTGATGCTGTAAGGAAGAAAGCTATAGCTGGAGGATACTTAAAAGGAGCCACAACTGACTAGTTTAAAGAAAATACAGGAACTATGGCAAATAATTGGCTACAACTATAAATAGTGAAAACAATTTTGTGGACATGTTTAATATCTGATTTATCAATAAAACTAGGAAAAATTAGTGGTATCAAGAGTTAACTTCCCTACAACAACATTTGAATGAATTGGTAGATTCATATGCCAATAAGTTTTGAAAATTAGTTAAACGGGTAGGATTAACTGACAATGCTTAGCAAAAATAAATGTTCCTTATGGGATTAAACCCTGCATATACTCTGATAATATATGCATAAGCTTCTAATGATTTAGCCACTACAGTAAAGATGGTCCCCATAATTATTTTTAAATTTCAATTGAGTTGCAACTTAATTGCATCATAAGGAAATTTAATTGCGTCATAAGTTGCAACTCAATTGCGCCATTTTTTTTAATTGCGGTGACCATCTTTACACTACAGTAAATACCGCTAAAAATATAGAAATTGGTTATAATTTTATTACTAAAAAAATTCTAAGAGATACAAGTGTAACTCTCTTTGCTTCTGCTGTTATGTTACCAAAATCCACTCTAATTGTTAATACAGAAATAGACGAACTTACAAAAAAACTGAAATAACTCACCATAAATTATGCTAATCTATTTTCTGCAATGCTAGCCCAATTACAGATCCTGGGAAGAAGAAACGAATCCAATGTGAATACTTATAGATTTCAGAATACAGGACCTAACGATTTTACCTATTATAATTGCAATGTTCTAGAATATATTATGAGAAATTGCATTCAGTTGTAACAATATCGTCAAGATAATCATAGATCCTATTTTAGTGAAACTAGAGAAATGCATTTAGCAGATCAGTATACTGATGAAGAATATGATAATTATGATTATGAAATAGATGAAAATAATAAGTACAAAGTTTACTTAAATATCTGATCGAGATCATATCCTGATAATCTAACATCATAAAACTGAAGGATTAAACGTGTGGAATCTTAAAGGAAAGAAAACCTTAAAAGGTTTTCCAAATCAACTGTTATGTTAAATTTCATAGAAGAATTCGTACAAATAAATAATTCTGCTTCAATGCAAACTGAAATTCTAAATAATCCTAAGAATGTCAAAAAAAGATTAATATCAGCTCTGATTGAATAATTAACAGAGTTCAATGTTGCTACTTACCTCTAGAATCTTTCATGTAAATTATCAGTTAGACAAGCTGCTCATGCCATACCAAATTATCATTTCAGTTTAGCTAAGACCGTAAGAAGATCTAGGAAAAAGGCTTTCAAGGAATTCAAAGAAGCAAATTTAGCTGAAAGTGACGATAAGCCTACTTTCGCAGCCAAATATACTCTTTGAATAAGGAGAAAAGCTCAGATTGCTATAATCGATAGCGGCATAGTCACAAGCATAATTACAAAAGCTTTATTGAATAAATTGG